AAGAAGAAGCATAAGCAGAATCAGAATCAGTTTTCAAAAGTTGGTCACCCCCTAGCTTCTAAAAAAACTTATTCTATGAGTAAATTAGAGCATCAGAATCACTTCTGCACTTTCACCCAAACACTCCAACTTCTGCTTCTGTCTCTTGAAAAAGCAGAAACAGTTTTATGAATTAGATCAAAACATATTAATGTATGTGCGTGCGTGGTGCATTAATGGATGTAGTAGAAAATATAAATGATAGATGGGTATACGTTAGGAGTTGGGCCAGCTATGCATCCATCCCATTAGAGAGATAAGGTGCAAGCGGTTCATGGGTTTTCCCCCCCAAAATATTGTACTAAAATAAAACTTATTTGCAAAAATATAATTAATGGTGATTATAATGTAATGTCATTGTAACTTAAGTTTAAAATTTGAACATAAATTGCTACAATTTTACTATTACTTTATGATGAAATTCATATGAATAATCGCTACTTTTAGGGATTCTACAATAATAATTCATATTGCAAGTGTCTATAAAAATAATCCGAACTATCAATAGTGTCCACAAGAATAAATTGGGATAAATTCAAATTAATGTCCCTTCAATGCTATCAATCCCTACTCTAACTTTTCTCTTCAACGCTCTTCTTATCGAAGTGAATTAAAACTAAAATCCATTTAATCTTAAAAGCCACATGTGATTCTTCTAGGATAGAAGATAGAAAGTGTTACCCAAAAAGAAGAGTGATGAGGGGAAAGTATAGGTAAGATTTGGGAGAATTAAATGGGAAATAATTTTAATTTACCTCAATTTATTCTTGTGGACACTATTGCTAGTTCGGATTGTTTTAATGAATACTCTCAGTATGGATTATTATTTTAGAATCCCTAAAAGTAGAGATTATTTTTGTGAATTTCGCCTTACTTTATTCACCAATCACATTTTTAGAAACAATTTTTATTTTAGTCATATATGTGTAATTATTTCTTGGGTAGATTCGCTTTACATGTAAATGGAATCTCCAAATTGGAAACTATCATTTTTGGGAATAATTAAAAAAATACATTTTTGTGGAAATTTAAAACAAAAAGAAATAATTATAGATTATTAATAACTCAGGTATGTGGCTAGCATCTGTCTATCTTATAATTGGTAAATTTGCCTTCATTAAAAACTTTTTTGTGGAATTTTAAAGAGAAAAGGCCATGCCGGCGTCAACCTTTGGGGTGCAATTTTGCAGAAATGGTACATTATAATGAAGAGGTTTCTAATGTGAACAAATTTATTATTTACGAATGAATAAGTTACTCGTATTATATATGGAGTATAATTAAGATTAATTAGGATCACAGTCAAAAGTCATTAGACAAAATCAACTCTCTCTCTCAAGCAAAAACTGACTAAGTTATGGTACTTCATCAAAAAGTGAGCGTACCATAAAATATGATTGGTTCATGTCATTATTTCATCACTTCTTTTAATTGTTTAATTACAATATTTTGATTGGTTTATATGAACAAGGTAAGTTAGCTTAACGGTATCATAAAATATGTCTTAGTTTATACTTTCATATATTTTCATCAAGGTTGGTACTTGGTACGAAATATGTAAAAATAATCATTTTTAACTACAAGGGCTTCGGCGCGCGGTGAAGCCATAGTCGTATTGTGGTTGATATCAGGGTTTGCTTACTTTTCACCTTAATGAGAATTGCGCCTTAATTGTTCAGCTATAAAGTCGGATTGTGTTTACTTATGACTTAATTAAAAACACGACTTAATCATTTAGTCAAAAAACTGATTTAATCATTAAATCAGAAAACAAATGTAGTTTCCATTAATCATTAAATCAGAAAACAAAAGTAATTTCCATCAGAAAACATGACTTAGATATCTTTTCCATTAATTTTCTTAAATCGATTATGGAATAGACTTATGTTAACAAATGAAATTTCTGATTGACATTATAATCCAGGAATAATATTAATTGATCAATCTACTCAATTCATATATAGTTTATTCAGCACACAAAATAAATAGTTTCATATACAAATACCACTTAATTCAGAAAAACATTTTAATAATGACATCTTTTTATAGAAAATATAAATAAATAGTGCCATAGTCTCTTACCGTAAGGGCTACACAATTGATCGAATAGTAACACATCTGTTTTTACAACGGATTTTACTTTTTTTATCTGGTCTGATCTGATTTGGTATGTTTAACTCTGATATGATCTAAACTAGTCTTGTCTTGTTGATGTTTATTTTGAAGTAGTCTGATCAAATCTATCTAGTTTGATCCGTTGAAATCTGATCTGATCTGGGGCTAAAACTAGTCAATAAAAACATTCTAAAACCATCTTCCTCCATCTCAAATTCACTTCAAATTTACAATTCATAAAATTGATTGACCATAAACTAGATATTTGGTATGTTTTGCACAACTAGTTGAAAAGAAACATTTACGAGCTTTTTAACAACCGATAGCTTTTAGTGGCCGAAAAGATGTTAAAAGAAAAATGTGTAAGTTACTTAAGAAAAAGCTAACTATTTAAATTAGTTTTGTTTGGCATACAAGTTGTTCTGACTAATTAATACTAAAAGTTACATACTTTTGTCAAATGCTAGTATATGTGTAGCTTCTTAGAAAAGATTTTTTATTTTAAAAAAAAGTTTTAAAAATTTGCGGTGACAAACATACAACTAAGAACTTGTAAGAACTTTTCAAATAGTACAAAAGCTAGAAGGTAGAGATTTATGCCTACCAAACATGTTCATTATGAGCAAATATATATTCACTTCTGGTAATTGTATTTATGTTTCCACTTAATCTATTTCAATAATCTCTTATCAAATTAGATTTATATAGATTAGAATATATTAGATTTATACTATAGTAAAATAAATAAATATTGAACTATTATCAGATCAAATCGCTTAAATAATAAATCAAACCAGGCTATATCAAGATATTAAAATCCAAGAAAGAACATCCTCGATCGGATATAAATTGAAACAATAGTTTGAGTTTTCAATTTAAGTACTCTAAGGATGTGTTTAGTTAGACTGGAATGTTCTATTCTGTTAATCTATTATGATTTGCTCTAATGAGTATATGGTATATGTGTATTTTATTATTGTTTAGTTGTGGTGCGGTATGTTTAAGTCTATTCTGATCCGATCCGATATGTCTATGTCTGATTTTATCTAATCTGATTGCTTAAGTTTGATCTATCTCAATGTGGAATGAGCCCGGCCAATTAAAAACATCATAACAACTCTATCAAAAAAACTTGAATTTTCGTTTAAATATCATAAAAACTGGTTCAATCACACACATCTATCCATTGTGAAACAACATTATGGACATATATGCTATGGGTTTACGGTGCACTTCACTCAAGGTACAAGAATCGTGGCCGCATTGGACCCTTATCCAGCCTTAGGTTTGTTATATACTGTATACACATCACATTTGGTCTAAAATGAATCCAAATGAGATACCTATAATCGGTGTCAAATAAACAACAAATTAAACTTAGAATTGCAAGAACCATTACAAAAACAACATGGGATTAATAGAGATTTTTGGCAAGGATTTCACAAAACTGTAAGGATTTTGGCAGGGATATGCCAAATCCGTGTCAAAAACAGTTTGATACGAGCTATTTAGTACGCAATTATTTGTAAATCAGTGTCAATTCCATAATTTTTTTGTTGTAGGAAAGAGAAGATAAAAAGTAGAAAAGTAAGAATAATTGATTTTTTTAAAGGAAAAACTTACTAAAAAGCGAAAGTGTAACAAACTTTTAAATATATCTCAAAGAGAAAAGTGTAGCAAAATTTTAAATACGGAGAGAGTATGAGTTAAACATCTAGTAAACATGTTGTGTGGCACCTATAGTCCATTTGGTAATTGCCTTGTTCAATTTATCAGCCTTATGAATCAATTTTAATTTAATTTTAGTTAAACATTAAGCTCTTGATTTTGGGGAAAACTGTATAATTAGTAATCAAAACAAGCATGAGTAGTTTAATGATGGGTCTTGTTTCGATTCCAAATTTTCATAACCTGAGGTCTTACAGATGACATTTTCAAATTAAGTAAAATCCCGATCGAACTCGATCTCAACCCTGATAATTTTCTGAAATTTCAGTAGATTTAGCCGATTGAGCATACATACTCTTAATATTTAGTCACATATCTATTTATGGGCGTAGCGAAGGGTGGGCCATGCCATGTCCCGCCTCACCCAATATTTGAAAAAACCCCATACATTTTTTTGGGTAAAACATTACACTTCATCTATCCCAAATTGAATTGTAATTTGTGATTATTAATTAAAGTTGAGTAACGATAAAGTTAAATTGTTTATGCGGATGCTTGAATCAGTTTTAATAATTAAAATTTAGAAAATTGGATTGAAAATTCTATAAAATGGCAAAATCAAATTAGAATATAATAAAAAAAATTATATACTAAAATAGGTAAATAAAATGAAACTCTAGTAACTAAAAAAATGGACTTCACAAATAATTTTAGGACGAATGGACTAAAAAAAAAAATTTATACTGGCTCACCCTATCACCATATATTGGATATATAAATATGTGCATGCATACTCGCCCAACATTTATGCACGGGCTGGATGGAGTGAGTAGGTCCGTCTGCATTTATACAAGTCTAAATTTATCTGTACAACCATACATGCTTGCATACATTGATATATACACCAGCTAAGATATGAAGAAGATATTATCCAAGAAATTAATTTTACCATCATCCCTTTAACTTGCTTGCACAAGCAATAGGTAGAGAGGAGGGAGGGTGGTCCACTCGAGTCTATGGCAGACCGACTTGAGAGAGAAAAGCCGTATAAGATAAGGAATATAGTCATAGAGATAGAGGGAGAGTCTTGAAAACAATAATACTAATAATAATAATTATAATACCAATTCTAATATATATTAAAATAATAATATTCTCTTTCTCTCTTTCTTGGTATGTAGCTAGCTAGCTGCCATAGTTGTAGTTTTACGGTGCAGTGTTTGTTTTGCTTCTTCTAAGCTAATAAGGTTCCCCCCTGGCCTCCCATTATTATAGAAAAACAAAGAAGAATTCATCTTTCTAAGATATATCAACTCTAAAGAAAGAAAGAAAGAAGGTTATGATGATGAGGATTCTATATGGTGTCATCATTATGCACATGTAACCAATTTTCTTATCATCTTCTGTTTCTTTTCTCTTTTGTTTTTGTTGTTTTAGCTTCTGTTGTGCTGCACACTCATTAAACAGTGTAGTTTTATCTTGGGATTTAGCTGTTTTCAGCAAAGCACAAATCTTTTCATCAAATTTGTTTGTTCTTCCTTCTTCTTTTCTTCTTCTTTTTCTTCTTTATTAATTAAAAGAAAGCCATGATGTCATCATCTGATGATGCCCTTTCCTCCCTCACCTCCTCCATGAGAGCCTTCATTGGAAACAGCCAAGATCCTATCCAAAACCCTAATCCGAACCCGAGCCCGAGCCCGAACCCTAACCCGAACAAGCGAAAGAGGAACCTCCCGGGCAACCCAGATCCGGATGCAGAAGTGATAGCTCTCTCCCCCAAGTCATTGATGGCCACCAACCGCTTCGTCTGCGAAATCTGCAACAAGGGTTTCCAGAGAGACCAGAACCTGCAGCTCCACAGGAGGGGTCACAACCTGCCATGGAAGCTTAAGCAAAGAAACAACAAGGAAGTTATCAAGAAGAAGGTGTACATCTGCCCCGAGAAGAGCTGCGTCCACCACGACCCGTCCCGGGCCCTCGGCGACCTCACCGGGATCAAGAAACACTTCAGCCGGAAGCACGGCGAGAAGAAGTGGAAGTGTGAGAAGTGTTCCAAGAAATATGCTGTCCAGTCCGATTGGAAAGCTCATAGTAAGATTTGTGGGACGAGAGAGTATAAATGTGACTGTGGAACTCTTTTCTCCAGGTATGTATTTATTATATATGTCAAACATATACTTTTACATATAATTAATATACGTAAAGATACAGAATTAATTAGTACACTGCCGTATTTATTGCAAATGGTTTTCCTTTATTGCTACCTGAGATTGTATGGAATTGGAAAGTAATTAATACTGCTGGAATAAAAATCTGATTTTTTTCTGTTTGGAACAGAAAAGACAGCTTTATAACTCATAGAGCCTTTTGTGATGCATTGGCTGAAGAGAGTGCCAGATTCACTTCTGTACCCAATCTAAACTTCCGGAACGAGCTGCTGGGAAATCCTCACCAATTCGGATCTCATGTTTTCCGGCAGCCGCAGAACGACCTCATGGTGGGGGTGGACACGGGGAGTCAGCTCGGTCTCGATGGGCAAAAGCCGAGGTTGCCGATTTGGTTGGATGCCAACGCGAATTCTCATCATCATCTTGGGAATGCCAATGAATTTTTGGGATCATCTTCTAGCGGCGGCGGTGGAGGTGGAGGTGGAGGCGGATTATCCCATCATGAGCTCTTACAAATGACGGCACCCTCATCGAGTATGTTGGGTTTATCCTCACCGAATCTATGGTTTCACGGCGCGAGTGGTAGCGCGTCCTCCTCTTCGCTACCTCCTGTTCTGAAAGAGGAAGATGAGAGTAAAATGAGTTCCATGTTCTACAACCACCTCCAAGAAGCGGCATTGAAGACACCGCCGCCGCCCGCTCATATGTCGGCCACCGCTCTTTTGCAGAAAGCAGCCCAAATGGGATCAACTTGTAGCAACAACAATAATAACTCGCCTTTGTTTGGCGGTGGATTCGGCTTTGGGGGGTCCACTATTTCCTCTCTCGGTAGTTTCAGTTCAAGAAATGAAGTTCATCATCATCACAACCACGATCATCACCGTCACCAACACCACCAGAGTTTGAATGGGTCGATACTGAGTGCTCCAAATAACAATAATCAAGGAAATGATCATCACAGTTTGTTTTTCGGAGACATGGATTCTTCGCCGACTGGAAATGGCGAAAATTCTTCTTCTTCACATGACCCTTCTTTGATGTTGCAAAGTAACAAAGGTAAACAGTTCAATCACACTATGCCTGGTGGAAGTAGTGAAGTAGTTGAAGGGAGTTTGACTAGAGATTTTCTTGGTGTTGGTGGGAATGACAATAGAACCTTTTTTCAACCCCATGAGTTGGACAAATTGGCCTCTACTTCCATGCCCTTGAGTGATTTTTCTAGACATGGTTAATGCCTGGCACACTCCCTTCCTGGTTCTATTCAATCTCATCTTTTCCATCTTCATATTGAATTGAAATCCAAATCACACATTGTCTCTTTGAGAATCAAGCTTATAGATATATCCACAATGTCATATCTTGGTGAGATTTGCTCTCTTTGTCCTATTTTATTTATAAAGTGGGTTTTTGAGGGGGCATTAATGAGATGATACAATGTTGGGAAGTTAATTGTATGGGGAAGATCAGATTATTGAGCTGATCAAAGAGATGATTTTGGAAAGGAGAAATTGAATTGAACTTGGCTTTCAAGATCTTGTGAATTGTCAGAGGGGAGCAAGTGAGGGGTGGGGTACAGTGTGAGGGGTGGGGGTACACGGTGGGGCCCACTGCATGCTTGAAAAGACTTGACCAAAAGCGACATTGCAATCACAAGGCAGGCAAGCTTTCCAAGCTCCATCGTATTACTTACTGCATGTAGAAACATTTTTCTTTTTTCTTTTTCTTAAATTTATTTTATCTTTCTTTTTTGTTTTTTTGCTGGACCACCGCAAGCTTGTGACTATATAGGGACAATGCTACAGTTCGAAGCATAGTTTAATTATTTTTTAATAATGTTTTTTTGTTTGGTTTATGTAGTATTATTCCAGATATGAACATGCATATTTGATTAATTAGTTCAGAACTGTGTCACTTATTGAGCTTAATTTCTCGAATTATTAATTGATCATAGAAATTGGGAGGTGTGAGGATTAACTTTGCCATGTTGTTGACTTATGAGCCCAGAATGCCAGCTCTACTAGGTCTCTATGACTTTCCTAAGATTCATGATATAGCCTTTTATTCAACCAAGATTTTTTCTCTACAGGATTAAGGTAGAATTTCTAGGAATAATCAGCCATTATTTATTCACTTAAAGGGTTAGTAGATGTTATTTTTTCATTTTATGAACTACTCTGATCAAGCCGCATGATTATGAAAATATTACACCCAACTTGCTATTTTCATCAATCTTTAACTTCATTAACAGTATTTTTGATATTTTAACATTTGGAAATGTATTTTGCCTTTTGCTTTGTGCATTTTGTGTTGTTATTTTTGGAAAATTTAGAGCCCGTTTGAGGGAAAACAATGAAATTGACTTAATTGACCGATTCTGCTGAAATATTTGATGAAATTCATGCAGAATTGCCTGAATCTATCGAATTATGAAAAAATAAATAAAGTATACTACTTTCGTCCCGTCAAAAGGTTCTCATAGCAAAATGACACAGTTATTTAGACAATAACTAAATAAAGTACTTCGAGTATATTTTGGAAAATAATTTTAATAGGTATATATTATAATGTAGTTAGTATTGATAATTGTGATGTTATAAATGTATTTCTTTAATATTTAATGATTAGTTTGTCACTTAAGATTGTCAATTGTTTCCTAAAGAAATGAGAACTTTTATATGGGACGTCCATAAAAGGAAAGTGAGAATCTTCTAACGGGACGGAGGGATTATTTTATTACTCCCTCCGCCCCCCTAATATTGGTACGGAAGGGAGTGGTGTGGTTTTTAAGAAAAGTAGAATTATGTGGTTGATAATGATTTGATAAAGTGGAAATAAAGTAAGAATGAATTAGAACCACACAAATGTTACCAAATATGGTATGAGACAATAATAAAGGGATATCCAAAAATGGAAAAATGAGACAATTATAGGGGGACGGAGGGAGTAATTAATAACTACAGAAAAATGTATATGAAAAAATAGTCATCTAAAGTAACTTCTTAAAAAAATAAGTTATATCAAAAGTTACATACTTGGTGAAAGGTTGATTCATAATAAGGTTCATTCATAAGGCGGAAAAAATGGTAACCAATTGGGCTCTTAATTGTATACAATTTATATGGTAGTTCAAATAAAATGTTTAAAGAAATGAAATGTAGATAGATAATTTTGGTATGTGTATGAGTGTGATTCCTTCTAATTAATGTATTGTAAATGAAGTTGGAACAATAGTTTTAGAGCTCCGATCTATCTTTCCAACGAGATATAATACACTCCAAAGGGATAAACACACAGCAGACATTGACAGTATTAAGTTTACGTTCAATATCTTAGGATATTTTTACTAGTTTGTTGGTCTAGTTTGTTGGTCTGATTTGGTTTGATCTGAATAATGTTTAGTCTATATGTATTTTATAACTATCCAAATTCGGTATGATCAGATCTAATTTGGTTTGATGTGAGACAGAAAACGGTGGAAGTAAAAACATTTTAATGACATTTGGCTCAAATCTTTTGAGAACATGTTTTTGAACTTTGAACGAAAGATTCTTTACGTACGTAATACAGTAGTACTTTTAAGTTTTAGTGAACTAAGTGAATAAAAAATGATGGTTAAAGTGTGATTCCTCGTTTCAGTTAAAAAGTAACTTTCCACTGTATTTTAGTATGAGTTGATTCCCCGGAATAATGGGCCAAACATCATTTTGGTATTTAGTTGTTAAGCTTAATAAGTCAAAAGTGCAATTTATTTAGGTGAAAATTTAAAAGCAATCATCTAACTTAGAGGCAGTAACATGTTGAATCTCGACTCTCGTGTAATCATGGGGTAGCACCGTACCAATTTCAGTTTCATAACATGAATTTGGAGATTAAGCGTTCGTTTGGTAACGATGACTTTTGGCTTTTCAGGTTTATAATCCAATTTTTTCATCAAACACGTAACTTTTATTTTACGAGTTGAATTGTGTAATAATAAGAAAAAGTAAGGTTGAAGTTACTTTCCTATCTATATTGATTGAAGCTACTATAGAGAGCCATTTTAGCTATTTATTCATGTTGGTATTGGCCCACTATTACCGTAAGACCAATTTCCCTTTAGCCTTTACCCGGCCCGTTGGTTTTATTCCTCACAATCCGCTTCCTCTTTTTCAATTGTTCTGGGTGATTCTTTCCTTTGCTAAGACCTGCGCAATTCAAACCTTACTCCATGGAAGGTAAGTTACCATCTCTGTTTTTTTTGTTCGCCTATTTATTCTTCTCCTTGCTGATGGATTAAGGGCCGGCCGAAACTCTTGCTTCTCTCATTTTCGGCTCTCTGTGGGTGCTCGATTGATTTGGCCGGAAATAGCCTGCTGGTTGACGCCCCTCTTTCCCCTTAGAGATGGTAACTTACCTTCCATTGTTGAGGTGGAGTCCATACCATATGCTGTTAGTCCTTTGTTTGCTAATCATGATTCTTCTGACTTGCTTGATTCTTCTGACTTGCATGATTCTTCTGAATTGCATGATTCTTCTGAGCATGATATTACCACCACTTCGAGTGAGGTGGAGCATTCTCATGTGCATTCAAATAACAATGAATCGCATGATGAGAGTGTTGATTCTAGTGAAAATGATTTGCATGATTACCAACTTGTCAGAGATAGAAGTAGGAGAGAAATCAGGAGAACTGCAGATAGTATGCCTGATTTTGCTTTCCATGTGTGTGATACTTCTATGTTTGCTTTCTCTGTGTTTGAGACCCTTGAGCTTAACGAACCTAGAACCTATAGAGAGGCCCTTAAGTCTAATGAGTCGCTAAATGGCTTTGCGCCATGGAAAGTGAGATGGAGTCACTTAGAGCAAATAAAACTTGGACGTTAGTTCCTAGACCGCCCAATAGTTCCGTAGTTGAGTGTAAGTGGCTATTTAAGGTTAAGGAAGAGCCTAACAACATTAGATATAAGGCTAGGTTAGTAGTTAAAGGATTTACTCAATAGGAAGGTGTTGATTATGCTGAAATCTTTGCTCCTATTGTTAAATTCACTACGATTAGAATGATGTTTGCTCTTGTTGCTCATAATGATTGGGAAATGAAGCAAATGGACGTCACCACTGCTTTCTTGCATGGTGATTTAGACAAAAAAAATCTATATGACCTAGCCTGAGGACTTTGTGGATCCCATGAAGAGTAATCATGTGTGTTTTTTTAGGAAGGCCTTGTACGGCCTGAAGCAGTCCCCGAGGCAGTGGAATATCAAATTTGACCAGTGCATGTCATCTTTGAAATTTCACAAGTCCGAGTGCGACCATTGCCTATACTTTAAAAATACTTCTTCTGTGCCTGTATTTTTATTGCTTTATGTGGATGACATGTTGATTGTTAGTCCTTCGGGTGATGCCATTAAATGTGTGCAAAAGCGTCTCAGTGAGAATTTTGCAATGAAAGACCTAGGTGATGCCAAGAGGATCCTAGGCATTAACATAGGGATAGGAGTAAGCGTGTGTTAGTACTCAATCAGATTTCATACATTGAAAAGATTTTGAGTAAATTTAACATGCATTCTGCTACTATCGTCTCTATTCCTATGGCGTCCCACTTTGTGTTAAGTAAGGATCGGTCTCCCAAGACTGCTCCTGAAATTGCTAAAATGAAATATGTGCCTTATTCGAGTGCTATTGGGTCCGTGATGTATCTCATGGTGAGTACTAGACCCGACATTGCCTATGTTGTTACTTGTTTGAGTAGGTATATGTCGAACCCTGGTTTGCCTCATTGGAATGCTCTTAAGTGGTTGCTTAGGTACTTGAAATCTACTGTTAATCATGGATTGGTTTTCACTAGGTGTTCTGAGGGTGTTAAGTTGAGTGGGTATGTGGACTCGAATTTTGCTAACGATAGAGACAATAGGAAATCCACTACCTCTTATGTGTTTACCCTTTGCGGGTCTTGCATTAGTTGGAAGTCTCAACTTCAACCCATAGTTGCCCTATCCACTACTGAGTCCGAGTATGTGGCTGTTACCAAGCGTTTAAGGAAGCCGATTGGCTTAAACGTCTCCTAACGGAGATTGGTAGTCTTAAGCAGGACACTTGTGTGTTTTCTGATAGTCAATCTGCTATTCAACTGTGCAAAAACCCTAATTTTCATGATACAACTAAGCATATTGATGTTAAATTTCATTTTATACATGATATTGTAAGTGCAGGTGATATCAAGTTGATTAAAATTCCATCTGAATTTAATCCTACTGACATGGGGACTAAATGTCTCTCTGTCGAAAAGTTGCTGTCGTGCAAGCACACGTTAAACATTGATTGCGGATAAGTTGCCTGGTGATCTTACCCCTTTTGCCTGAATGTGTCTTTGTGATCATTCGGGCAATCCAGCGATGATGAGTCTCATATTGTTTTAGAGCGTTCTGCTCTACACCACTAGGGTCCAATAAGGTGGAGAATGTATTGGTATTGGCCCACTATTACCATAAGCCCAATTTCCCTTTAGCCTTTACCTGGCCTGTTGGTTTTATTCCTCACGATCGGCTTTCTCTCTTTCAATTGTTCTGGGCGATTCTTTCCTTTGCTAAGACCTGCGCAATTCAAACCTTACTCCATGGAAGGTAAGTTACCATCTCTGTGTTTTTGGTTCGCCTATTTATTCTTCTCCTTGCTTATGGATTAAGGGCAGGCCGAAACCCTTGCTTCTCTCATTTTCGCCTCTCTGTGGGTGCTCGATTGATTTGGCCAGAAATAGCCTGCTGGCTGACGCCCCTCTTTCCCCTTAGTGATTTTAGTGATGTTCTTCATCCTTTGTGGGTGAAACTTGGACGAGACCTGAGCTGGAAGTTGTACTTACAATTCATATAATTTTTTCTTTATTTTATTAATAAAATTTATTTTAAATTATTATTTTTCATAAATCAGCAGAATCAGCCAATACAGCCACATCGGCCAGAACTTCATAAATTTCAGCAGAATCAATCAATACAGCCGAT